ACTTAACCATACCTCAAAGATAATATTGATCTTGACACTTGTCAGATTGCTATAATTTATTGAAGGATTAAAAGTGTAATTAATTCTTTGATATCCAATGAATTCTTGTTTTATAATTTACCTCAATTGTAAAACATAGAAAGGGGTAATATTTTCAAATCTTTAATTAAACATTTTTCAAAACTCTTTTAATTGATATTTTCATACTTTTGAAAAATAAAAGAAGAAGAAAACACATTTTTCAAACTAGATAATCTCTCTGGAGTGGATCTTGGTAGTTGACATGTGGCTCTTAGACACAAAGCTCATGCTTAGAATCAATGCTTAAGCAAGAAATGATGAATATTGGGGCATCTTTGGAGATTCAACATCCTGAAGTGAACGATTAGATCTTCTGAAAGCCTTTCCTCCACATGCATGAACAAGCAGACTATCGATCGCCTTTGAGATTGTTTCTCTTGAAACAAGGCGTCATCTTGCTAGAGACAATTTTTCTTAAAAACAAATTTTTTCTCTCTAGAGATAGTTTTCTCTAAAAACAAATTTTGTATCGCTTGAGAAAATTTCTCTCAAAACAAATTTCGTCTCGCTTGAGACATTTTTTCGTTAAAACACAAGTTCTGAAGTTGTTTCACTAGAAACAAAATTTATAATCTTTGAGTCTATTTCCCTTGAAACAAATTTTGTCTCCCTTGAGACAATTTCTCTTGAAACAATCATCTTTGAGTATGTTTCCCTTGAAACTAGTTTTATCTCCCTTGAGATAGTTTCTCTTAAAATAATCATCTTTGAGTCGTTTCCCTTGAAACGAATTTTGTCTCTCTTGAGATAGTCTCTCTTGAGACATCATCCCTAAAGATTGCATGATGTCCTCATCACATAGGAATCATGTCATCCCCCGACCAGACCTCCTCATCACGTAGGAGCCGTGTCAACCATAGATAACCAGTCATCCTCATCACGTAGAAATCATGTTATCATCCCTAAAGATGGTCTGCCGTCCTCATCACGTAGGAACTGTCATCCACCTACCATACCTCCTCATCACGTAGGAGCCGTGTCACCCTAGATAACAAGCCGTCCTTATCGCGTAGGAACCGTGTTATCACCTTTCCTAAAGATAGCCAGTCTTTCTCATCGCGTAGGAACCGTGTCATCCACCGACCAAATCTCCTCATCACGTAGAGCGGTGTCACCCTTAGATAACCAGAACTCTTCATAATGTATGAGCAGTGTCATTCTCACCAACCAAACATATCCAATTTCAAAGCAAAAAAAAGAGAACTGGATAAAAATTGGTTATCTTTTTCGTCTTTTTCCTATTCTTGTTAACACAAGAATGTGTAAAGATGGGCAGCTGTAGACACCCGTTTTTGTCCGGGTCTAAAAAAATATTATTATTTTATTTTTATTTTTATTAACATTTTGCATTGTCATTTTGCAGGCCCTCAACCCGAAGCCCACTTAGACAAGCCCGATTACAAGACTCAAGTGGATATAACCAAGCCCACCCGTATCAGACCCGAACCTGCCCAATTGGGTTTCTTCACTCAATCACCATACCTCCCTGCCACCAACAACGCTAACCATGCCCTGCTCCAGTCACCAGGCTGTGCCATGCCTCCTTGCCTGCAGCAGTCACCCCATCACCATAGCAATCAAAGTCAGAAAATTTTCAACTAATATATATTGTAAATAAGATAAAAAAAAAGAGGGGAACCAAACAATGTAAAGGGAGAGAGGAGTCTCGGTTTAAAGAAAAATAGCAGGGGCTCTTGGTTTTTGACTGTAAAAAAAGTAAAGGACAAGAGGGGCTTTTAGTTCCACTAAACAATGTAAAAAGGATTTTTTTCTGAGAATTCCTCAAATGAAAATCAATACAACTACATATTGTTTTTTTCTCTTTATTTCATTTGTTCCAGTAGCATTTTTTTCTTCTTTCTTTTCTATCCTATAAGTTCGAAATAAAGCAAAAAAAAGTAAGAGAAAAGGGTTCTTACCTTTGGCTGAGCACCTCACCAGTGATAGGGACCTCCGATCGATGATCCGAGCGATGAGGAGGCGCGCATTGGTGAGAAGAACGACATACTTGAAAATGGTGGTGATCTAACGACGGACGACAGTGGATCGGAGAAAGCAAGGTCAAACAATTTTATGGATTTCGTGGAATTCAGGGCTATTTTTCATGAAACGAAGGCTAGATCGAGATCGTGGATGCCTAGACCTCCCGGTTTAATTTGGCGGAGGTGACTTCAACACTGTGACGTGGCGCCTAACGGCGACAGACGACACGACGAAGGTGATTAGTCGGCCACCTATCGGTTTTCTAGAGAGAGGGAGACCCTCTCTCTCTAAAAATAATTTTAAAAAATAAAATAAAAAAAGTTCGATATTTATATAAAATTTTAGGGGAAATTGCATTTAAGTCCCCCAACGTTTGGCTTGTTTTTGCATGTTAGTCACATGTAGAGTCTGTTTTTGTGATTTTCCTATTTTTATGCATATTATATAAGTTTTAGGGTTAGTTTCAGTTTAGTCCTTGTATGTTTAGTTTGGTTTTATATTTAAGTCACTAGTTTGTTTATTTTAACATGTTTGTGTATGTTTGACTTTGGTCGCAATATTTGTGGTTATTTCATTTTAGTCACTGATTTCATGTGTTATGTATTTTTGCTGATATTTGAATCTGACCCTGTGATTTATTCATGTTTTGTTTTGGTCATTGTTTTAATATTGTTGTATTTAGGATTAATTGTTATTTGCCCCTTTTTATTTCGTGGTTTGTTTCATTCCAGTCCTTAATGTTGTTAATGTATTATTTTTTTCAGTACCTGTATTATGCAACATTTTCGATCTTGGCTCTGGGTTGTTTATAATGGTTTATTAAGTCCTTAAAGTTTTTGTTAATCATATTTTGATAACTTAAATGCTTACTTTTGGTATTTTATTTTGGGTTTGTAATGTTGGTTTGTTTTTATTTTAGTCCTTTATGTATGAATGATTTTTTTACATTGTAGTTATTTGTATTATATTAAATAAATATTATTAGTTCTATTCACTGTAAATATTTTATTTCGTAGATTTCCAATTACATTTATTTCCATTGTATTTTTATCTATTGATGAGATATTCGATTTTTTTTTCAAGAATAACTATTTGTAGAATGGGCGGGGAAAACATCACTTGATCGAAGTGGTGTAATCCGATACGACATTCGAATAAAATATGAACTTGAAATAAAACCAAATTTATTTTGCTAATTATTAATTCATTTTATTTTAAGTCGAACAATGCAATGAATATTTCTAAATAGCCACTTATTTTATTTCATGTAAGTTGTCGATGTACGTTTTGTATTCAATTCACATTTTTTACAATGAGTGGGGAATATTCTTTTACTGATAAGAAATAGACGAGATAGCTTTCCTGATAGAGGTTTGTTAATTTCGAGGTTTCTTTTCGAGTTAAAGAATTTTCCCTAACAATATAAATAATTCGAAGCGACTCAATAAATAGATCATATTTTAACTTTATATTCTATTTATAAGTTCCACCACCATTTCGACAATGAATAAGCGACCGTACCAATTTTGGGCGTTGTGGGGTGCTAATCATTCCCCACGCGTAACCGATTCCCGGACCCATCAAATCGAATTTCTGGTAAACAAATATAATTTTTGTCTTAAAAATGATTTTTCTTTAAAATTATTTCAAAATACATTTTTAGGTATTCGACTTACCTAGTCCAAAGGTCGATGGCGACTCCCTTTCAATTTAATTCATAAATCCCCAAATTTTCAAATTAAAGTCATAAAATTTTTAAAATAATATTTAATTATTTTTCCAAAAAAATGGTTATGACACATGTTTTATAAGATTGATGTGATATTTCTAACTCGTATGTGGGGACATATACAAGAAAAGAGTGTTACAGATTAAAAGTAGTTAATATATATATTATTTTTTAATCACCTTAATTTTATCAATCTTTCCTTTTATAATTTGGATTTTTTATTTTCACAAGATTATTTAAATAGAATGTATTAAATAAATGCATGATTTAGTCTTTAAAATATACTATTTTCCAATTTAATCTTTCATATTTTTTTAGTTTAGATTAGTACTTAATAGCAGAAAACTTTAAACGGTATAATCTTATCACGATTAATCATCGTCAAAGAATTCATATTATATTATGCTCTCGTGGCACATGAATAATTTTCACTTGTCATAGTGGTTGCAATTATAAGTCATATAATTGTATATAAATTATATTTATTCTCCTACATTTAGTGTTTTGATTTATCTACAAGTCTGTATTTTATCAAGAATTGAAGTTTTGTATATATTTGTATATAATCTTGAAGAGAAGAATAGATGTAAGACAAAAACCACATGGATGAGGACTCCTATTTGAACTCTAATACTTATTTTGGTAAAATTTAAGTTGACCCAGGAGATCAAGTTTGATTGTAGTTTGTTTTCGATCCGATTATAGTTCCTAGGGTGGTTAGTATGACAAAAGTATTGGTATATAGTTCCTAGGGTGGTTAGTGTGACAAAAGGATTGGTATATAGTTCCTAGAGTGGTCAGTATGACAAAAGTATTGGTACATAGTTCCTAGGGTGGTCAGTGTGACAAAAGTATTGGTATATAGTTCCTAGGGTGGTCAGTGTGACAAAAGTATTGGTATGATTCATGTCCGGACCCGTCACACACTTTGTATCTCATCAAATTGTTAGACTTTTGATTCTTTCTTAGTTTCTTGAAGTTGATCAACTTCATCTGTTAAGAGTTCCTTTCTTTTTCGGCTCACAGTATTCCTAAGCTTATTATTGCAATATTTTATATCTAAATAAATAGTTTTGATTTAGAACTTATTAGAAACCAAATAAAGAAACAAAAACTTATATTGTATGCAAATAAAAAGGGAGTTATATTGAATTATTTACAAAAAATAAAATAAATGAACACACTTTTCTTAATAATTTAGTATAAGAAGCTAAAATGTATTACAGGCATATAAAAGGAATGAGTTCTGAGTGTGAAACATGTTTATACTGAGAAAACAAATGTACATGAAAGCAATACGTGCTATAAGATCCATGTATTTGGCATGTTATATAAATCAGTGGCACTGCCGAGAACATAAGCTCTGGATCATAGAACTGCTTGCGCCTGGCAAAAAGTATGTGGTGGTCTTTCCGGTGGGGGAGCACGTTACATTCACTTGGCTGCCTAGTTGAGTGGACTGCAATAGTAATACATTTCCACAGTTTAAATTCAAGCGCGCGCGCGCGCGCACACACACACACACACCTGAACATTGAGGATCGTACTCATTATGCCTAGTACGATAATATCGTCTCATTTACTTGCATCTTTCTAATCTTATGTTTCCTGTTTTTAGCTAACACGGTCAAACTATTTGTTATATGGCTATCTGTTCGATCCAATTATGAGAAAATCCATATTTCGGAGCTACAATTTCATAAAAAGGATTGGTTCCATTGATGGATGTTAAAGCATAGAGAGAGGGAGACGTGAAATAAAAGGCAAAAGGAAAAAAGAGAGAGCTGATTTTGCTACCGTGCAGAATGCAGGCTCGGTATTGCATCTCCATCTTGAAGTAGGTACGCATGACAAGTAATGACACCAAGAACAATGATCATTTGCATCGACTCCACGCAGGAGCATAACCAATCCAAGAGTCAAACTGCAAAATAAGCATCATTTTTAAATGAGAGTCGGAATTAAATGTCACCAAGTCAACTAGTACATGAAGTACCGTGTGTAGAAACAAAATCAAACGAGGAAAAGAAAACTAGTCTATGAGTTTGGTAGTAGTAAATAACGAATCTCCTTGGTCAAAGACTGCTTTAGAGATCATTCGAGAAACAAAATGGTTTGCTTACCCCACAATTACAAGGATCAGAGAAACAACCCATAAAATACACTGGTACTTCTTGAATTTAGGTCGGGGTGAAGCTGAATATCCAGGAGGAGCATATTGTTGACTACCCCATTCAAACTGGGGTCGGACGAAAAATACGAACCCAAGAAGGAAACCAGTGAGAAATCCTCCAATGTGAGCAAAGTTGTCAACATGTGGTAGGATTCCAACTGCTAAATTGACGGCTATGATGATCACGAGAGTCAGAAACGATGCCACCTGTAAAATGCACATTAAATTGAAGGCATATCATCCTGATACCAATAATAACGTACCCCGGTTGTCTGTGATATGATTAATGATCGAGCTATTTATGTACCTTATTAGCATATATTGTCCAATTAGTAATGAGTTCAGAGAGCATGCTTCCAAGTAATCCAAAAAGTGCACCAGAAGCACCGACAGAGATGTTTGACTGGAGGAAAAGTGCAGACATCAAGCTCCCACCAAATCCAGAGATGATATAGAGCAATCCAACCAGTACTGCAATACAGTCGCACAAAAATCAAGCAGGATTTCATGCCAACTTAAAATAGATACATATGCAGGAGATAGTAATTGAACCAAGTCTTGCTAAAATTTCAATGAACTACAGATAGCTGTCAGTAAATTAATGGCCTTAACTCTAGTAATAAGTTTTAAGCAGCACCAGATATGAATGCAAGAATATTAACTCTTCTTCACTTTGTTTCCGTTCGACTAAGTTTGCTTGAATTTGAAGCCTATAACAGATGTAACAAAAACTGTAGAAGAATCTCAAGAAAAGTGATCTAATGAGGACTTAAAACCCTTTGAATGCTTATCAAAGAAACTAACAGATACAGTCAGTACAAACACAGTTTCGGAATTGATGGGATTGTTATCGAAACCGATATAGATACCAAGAGAAGAAAACATGTGTAGAAACAAGGAATAAAAGGAGTATCAGCAATTCAAAAGTGGTTCAACTCTATAACACAGAAAAGCATAAGTTGAGCTAAGATAAACATCTTCATTTACAACTTGCAAAATCTAAGCATCAATTTGAAGGAAGTATGGATTAAGCACATACTGAAGCCAAATTCTCTTTCAAGCCGGATTCCAATGACTAAAAGACTTAACATATTAGCCAGCAAATGAAAAACCCCTCCATGTAACCAATTGCAAGTGATGAGACGCCATCCCTGGTCTCCATGAACCACTTTGTTTACATCTAAAGCCCCCATGTTCCTCAACCTAAACCCACAAATAAACATGAACCCATTTACTTAAAGATAACAAAAAGCAGTTTACAAAAAGAAAAAGACTAGCAAAGCAGATGAAGTACTTACGTGACGGAAGAAGGACCCAGAAGAGGATTCTCCCTAAAAGGCTGAAAGGAGAACCTACCTAAGAAATCAGCGATGCAAAAAGCGGACTTCTTGGGGCAATTATTGACGTACATGGTGATGATGAACACAACAGTGTTGGCAAAGACGAAAGCGGGAATCAACCAAGAGATCCATTTCTTGAAATGCTTGATTTCTCTGTAAACGATCGGAGCTGGGGAAGTAACGGGTGGGGTTTCCACATCGACAGGGTGTATTGAGCTGCCGGACCGCCTTGAATTGGCCCTGGTTGGGATTCGGGATGAAGTGTCGGTGGCCATGGAAGCTGAAACCGAGAAAAAGATTGATTAACCCAAGTTGGGTTTTAACATTCAGATGAAGCTTGATTGAGCAGCTCAAGAAAAACAAAAATATTTGGGAAATTTAAGTCAACAACCAACCATCTTGGCTGCTCGAAGAATTGATCAGAATTCAGAAAACGTCTGAATGCACGGAAAATATGTCATAAAAATGAAATTATTCAATAAAAAAATGTCGCGGCAATTATACTGCACACCTACTCCGATAACCAAAAAGTAATAGGGAAAATGATCGAAATTTTTTTATAATATACGATTTTAATCAATTTTTTTATGATTTGTCAAAATGACTAAAAATATCGAAATGCGATATTTAAATCGCAATGCGATCTCCATTATCGTAATTTAGTTTCTAGATTCGCAACGCGATTTTGACCATCGCATTGCGATTTTCGAAATCCGCGTTGCGATTTTAGATAATCGCAATGCGAATATGTAAATCGCAATGCGAATATGTAAATCGCAACGTGATAACACGTGATTGCAACGCGATTCTGACTATCGCAACGCGATTCGGACTATCGCAACGCGATAATACGTGATCGCAACGCGATTCTGACTATCGCAACGAGATTCTGACTATCGCAACGCGATTCTGACTAACGCATCACTGAATTTCAAATTCGCAACAGGTTTTAGTTTCGCAACACAAATGGGTAAATAACTACTACGCAGCAACATCAACTCATAACCTAAATCCCTAAATCGCAACTCATTCCATCTCCATCTATCACTCTCTCCGACGACATCCGTTCTTATATCCAACGACATCATTTCCCATCCGGCAACAGGTTTTAGTTTCGAAGCTCGTTTGTTTAGTAAATTAATTTACAATAATGAAATCATCTAATGTTGATCATGTTTGGATAGAATTGTGTTTTGGAGGGTCATGGGAGAATGTTCATGGTGTTTTACAATATATGCCTTTACCCATGAATCTTCAATTAAAACTGTCATTAAAAAAGTTAACTTATGAAACTCTAATGTTACGTGTTGCAAATAAATTGAATTTAGAGCCCTCAAGTGGATTTAGGTTATCTTATCAGAGAAAAGGTAAAGTTTATTTGTTAACCGACAATGAAGATGTTGAACGATTCATTGCTTACATTAGTGTTTCGCAAGATGATGTTACATTGTATGTTGTTGAACCTAGAAGTAGTGAAGTTGGGTCAGTAGCGGGTGGTAATCAACTAAGTTTTTCAACCCCAGTTTATGGTGCTCAAAATTTAATGGTTCCACCACAATTTCATCACCAAGCAAATTTTGTTTCACCACATTTCCAATACCAAACACAATCTCAAAACCCACAACCTTTCCCTAATCCAAATCCAATCAACTTTCAGCACCAAATTCTGGTTTTCGTATTAACTAGTTAGACGATGATGAGCCAACAGAAAAAATTGTGAGTACTAGTCGGTATTCGAAATTTGATCTTGGTCAATACCCGGACTTTGATCTTGGTCAATACTCGGATTTTTATGATGTTTCAGAAGAAGAAACAGACCCTACGTGTAATGATTTTGATATTGGTCAATACCCGAATTTTGATGATGAAACAGCCGTTATCGAGGAAGATGTTGTTGATGATAATGAGGAGGAAGTTACGACTGTGAATGAACATGTTGAACATCCATTCTGTAATTCATATAACCCTGAAGAAGAAAAAGAAGAAGAAGAAGTCCCCGAAGAAAATGCCACGGGAGTATAACTGGAATATGCCAGAATTACTTCAGATACCGGAAGAAGATTTGGTAAAAATAGCAGTTGATTGTTACACAAAAATTATTCGTATCAAGAAAGATGATTGTTTTGATACAAAGGAAGACTTGAAGATAGCTTTGTATACGAAATGTGTGGAAGATGGCTATCAACTAAAAGTTAACAAATCAAGCAAAGATCGTTTCGAAACAAGGTGATGATTGACAAAAACTGTACGTGGCGTATGATTGCAAAGAGGTTAAAAGATTGCGAAATGTTTCAAGTTAGGACTTTTATTGATAAACATACATGTTCAAGAACCCAAGTTTCTCCTCACCATAGACAGGCAAACAAAAAGGTGTTGGGTGGTTTTCTGGCTGAGTTAATGTTTTTGAATGGCAGGGTATATCGGGGACATGAAATTATGACTGACATGAATGCTCGGTTCAAGATTAATATCTCATATTCTCAAGCTTGGAGAGCCAAATGTTATGCCTTGGAATTGTTGAGGGGGTCGCCAGAAGCATCGTTTGCCCAACTGCCAGCTTATTGTCACAATTTAAAGCTGAAAAATCCTGGGTCGGTAACTCATATCAAAACAGATAGAGATGGACGCTTTGAGTTGCTGTTTATCGCCATTGGTGCTACGGTTAGTAAATCAATATAATTTTGTTGACTCATTTTTGTTAGTTACATGCATTTCACATTTAAATGATTATATTTCTTGTGTATATGATTTTGTAGAATCGTTCGTTTATTACTTGCATGCGCCCAGTTATTATAGTTGACGGAGCACATTTAAAAGGTCAATACCTTGGAGTAAACTTATTAGCAGTAGCCATGGATGCTAACAATGGGATACTACCAATAGCTTACGGGGTTGGCAAATCTGAAACCTCTGATTCATGGACATGGTTTATGGGGCATCTTAGGGATTGCATAGGTCCTATTAGCAATCTGACAATCATATCCGATAGGGCAAACTCAATTGACAACGCTGTTAGAAGGTGTTTCCCAGATGCTTTTCATGGACTTTGTGGTGTTCATTTATATAGAAATCTAAAATCAAGTTCTGCTGGTATAAAAAATCAAAAATGGACATACTGGAAGGCTGTAATAGCTTATCGGGAAGTGGATTTTAATAAGCATATAAATTGTTTAAGACGTGTTTTGCCTCAGTGTGCTCAAACACTAGAAGATGTCGGGTTTGAAAGATGGTCAAGAGTACACCAACTTGGAGCAAGATATGGTTTCATGACGTCTAATAGTGCAGAATCAATCAACGCTCTAAGTCGTCATTCCCGGAAATTACACATTACTATGTTAATGGAGTTTTTTCGAGCCTCTATTCAACAGTGGTACTACAAGAAAAGGAACCATGCAGGTATTATTTCTTTAAATTCGTAACTTATCATATAATTTACTAAGTATTATTTATTTAAATTTATAGGAACATTGGAACATCGTGTTACACCATGGACTGAAAAAAAGATAACGAAACGTGTTGTGAAGTCAACGTCATGGAGAGTTGAACCATGTTCAAACACTTTGTTTGAAGTACTGGATAATAACTTAAATGGGCTTGTCGCTCTAAATGCAAAGACGTGTAATTGTATGAAATGGAAAACATCTGGTTATCCGTGTGGCCATGTTTTAAAAGTTGCTCTTCATCTAAACCAAGATGATTCAAGCGCATATGCTATGGATTGCTACACTACAGAAGTATATCGACAGACTTATGCCGAGATTATCTACCCTATTCCACATCCTTCTGAGTGGGACATACTAGATGACTTACAAACAGTTTTGCCACCAGCCATGGACAGAAGGCTACCTGGCCGACCAAAAAGTCACGATCGTATACCGTCTAAGGGTGAAGAGAAGAAGAGATCGACATGTAGTCGGTGCAAGGAAAGTGGTCATACAAGGTTGACATGTGGATCACCAGTGCCATCACAATCATCTTTTCCTCTACCAAAATATGGATCATCATCAAAATCAAAAGCTCATATGGTGTCAAGCAAAAGGCAATCAAAATCGCAATCAAAATCCCAATCACAACCGGCTTCACCTTTTGAGACTATTAACTTAGGTGATTTTTAAATACAAACGTTGTATTATGTGTATTTTATGTGTAAATTTTTAACATTTTCAGTTAGTCTCATGTATATTAGTAACTTGAGTTTGAACATTGCTATGATTTGTTCAGTTGTTATCACTTATTACACATTCATTTGACTATCGCAACGCGAATATGACTATCACAACGTGAATTTGAATATCGCAACGGGATAATCGCAATGCGAAAATGACTATCGCAACGCGAATTTGACTATCGCAACGGGATAATCGCAATGCGAAAATGACTATCGCAACGCGAAAATGACTATTGCAATGTGAATTTAACTATCGCAACGTGAATTTGACTATCGCAACGCGAAATGACTATCGCAACGCGAATTTGATTATCGCAACGGGAATTTGACTATCGCAACGAGAAAATCGTAAAGTGTATTAGACTATCGCAACGCGAATATGATGCAGATTAAAATCAACAAATCAACTTTTACATTTCAATCAATTAAACAAGAACAAATAAGAATTATTTACACATCAATAATCAACTTTTAATCAATTAAACAAGCACAAATAATAATTATTTACACATGAATTAAACAAATAAGAATTATTTACACATCAATTAAACAAATCAACTCTTATTACATTATTTTTCTCATCAATTAAACAAGTAAGACTTTTAAGAATCAATTACAATAAAAAAAGTGTACCCCAGACAGTTGTTTATGCACATCAATTTCACGCAGCTCACTTCAGGATTAACCTGCAGAAACCAAACATTTGCTCAAACAACACTTTCTATACATCTAAAACCAACAAACAACAAATTATATTGAATTCTAGGTACTTAACAACACTTGCATTTGACTTACCAATTGTTTATGGACACTTTCATAACGCGGATGCAGGTAGGCAACATCTCGCATATATCGTTCTAGCCATAAAATACCGAAACCACAAGCCTACTGTACCTCTATCTCTATCGGTGGGAGGTAGAAACTCTGTACTTCCTGTCGTCAAACGCTCCAAGCACATGCATACAAGAGGACCACAATCCCCTCTGGCTTCCGGCGTTTGTTGTGGCGCGGTCTCGTCTCTGATAACTGTAATATTAAACTTCTTTGGCTTCTTGTTTCCAGAATAAGTCCAATAATTAATCGCATCCAAGAATTTAGCCAAATGAGAGCTCCATCCCTTAATAATATCTCTCAAATAAGAGAATGATATGTAATTTATCATGCTGTCATATACTATTATCTTCAGGGATGGAAGCTGAAGCTCGACGAGAAGCCAATGAGTACGTTCCAAAACAGGGATAAACATCTACAATCATAAGTAATAATTCAATTACGCACTTATTTATAAACACCTTTAAAATATTTACAAAATAAATACTAACCTTATCGACCTCCCACCATGCAGGAT